TTGAGATAGGATAATCATCGAGTTAGAGGTTGAGTTGAGTTTGAGTTGAGTTTGAGTTAGCATTGAGTTAACATTGAGTTAGCTAAAATATGAAATAACAACTTTAAAAATCAAAATAATTTTAATACATGCAATAAAACTGTATAGAAAGACCTATAGACTTAAGTTACGTAATTCAAAAACGAATAAAAAACGCATTTCACGTAATCAAATTATAACTACTTTACTTTATATCATAGCAAATGTAGACAGTTTCTTTCAATGTCAGCTTTAGTTAGATTAATTCTTAGCATAATTCCACTTAATACTTGTACGTTTGACTCCTAATAAATGTAAATAACTGTAAAAAAAGACACAGACTGACCGATAGTCTGGCCGCCATGTTTTATTCAACACAGGAATCCCATTATTTTCGGTGTGTTGCAACACAGGAAGCCCATGTTTTGGAAAAACGAAAACTATTTTTTTGTCTTGAAAAGCGGGTATTCCACATTGCGATAAATAAGAAATTCCCAACACAACTTTGATGCGAATCGGAGAGGAAAATAGATTGTCAAGTTTTGTCTTACGTGGAACTTACACCTTTAACTTAAACCATCTTCTATTTTTTGGAAGTTGTGTTACTTCCTTGCGATAGACTCTTCAGAAGTACGATTTTATGTAGTGTATAATATAGCTTTTTGAAATTGTATATTTAGTTAAAATTATTCATTTTCAGCACAATTTTACACAATGTGTTGGGAATTTCTTATTTATCGTAATGTGGAATACCCGCTTTTCAAGACAAAAAAAATGGTTTTCGTTTTTCCAAAAAATGGGCTTCCCGTGTTGCAACACACCGAAAATAATGGGATTCCTGTGTTGAATAAAACATGRCGGCCAGACTATCGGCCAGTCTGTGTCTTTTTTTACAGTTATTTACATTTACTAGGAGTCAAACGTACAAGTATTAAGTGGAATTATGCTAAGAATTAATCTAACTAAAGCTGACATTGAAAGAAACTGTCTACATTTGCTAGGATATAAGGTAAAGTTGTTATAATTTGATTACGTGAAATGCGTTTTTTATTCGTTTTTGAATTACGCCTATAGGTCTTTCTATACAGTTTTATTGCATGTATTAAAATTATTTTGATATCTAAAGTTGTTATTTCATATTTTAGCTAACTCAATGTTAACTCAATGCTAACTCAAACTCAACTCAAACTCAACTCAACCTCTAACTCGATGATTAGCCAATCCCAATTATTTTAAATGTAATGCAGAAAATTAAGGACTATATTTTAGATTTAAATTTTATATTTCATTCATATATATTTTTATAATGCATACTTTTGATAACTATTTGTAAATAGATTATATATATATAACTTAATTTTTATTTTATTTTTCGTAAGTCCCTTTTCGGTTCTTTTACATTTCTTAGTTCAGTTAAAAAATTTTATTTTCGCAGGACCCCCATTGATAGCTGCATTAGTTGACGGGGCTATCCTGCTCAAATATTTATATTATTATTATTATTATTATTATTATTATTATCTGTATTGTTTTCTTTTCAAAGTTTTATAAAATATAGGTCCGTGTTCATCCCTTGAACATTAGGAGTCCATACATAATTGTGATTGGTATTACCTGATGGATAGTGTCCTCAGTATATGTGCTGTACCAAGGAGCACAATCTTCTGTAGCTCTACTATTTTTATATTTCCAGGAATTTTGTTTATATATTTATCTATCCCTTTTTTAATAAGTCCTAAAGCACCAATTATCACAGGTATTGTACTTGTTTTCAAGCCCCACATTCTTTCGACTTCGATTTCAAGGTCTTTATATTTTGAGAGTTTTTCGGTTGTTTTTATTGAGATGTTTTTGTCTGTGGGAACGGACATGTCTATTAGCAAACATGTTTTATTTTCTTTGTCTTTCACAACAATATCTGGACGGTTGGCTGTTATTTCTCTGTCAGTATGTATCCCCATGTCCCATAGTATTGTAACTTGATCGTTTTCAGTCACAGTTGTTGGTTCGTGTTTATAGTATCGCTCATTAACATTTATATTGAAGTGTTTANTAATCCAGAGGTTTTGAGCCATTTGTTTGTCTGAAGGTGATCAACATCATTATCATTAAGGCGTTTTGGATACTTTCCATGAAGTGGTTTTTCTTCCCAGGAATTCTTGAGCTGTTCTTCAGAATAATGTTTTGCTTTTATTTTGGTTCTCCGGGCATAGATAGTGGTTGGTTCATTCGCTGTTTTCGGTATCTCTTGTAGATTGAGACCTCTCTTAAACCTTGTCGCTTCATGGTGAATGGAAAATAATTTCTTTGCCTTGTCATGGTCAATCGCTATTTGCAGTAGATTGTCTTGCTTGTCGCTAAGATAAGTATCAAGGCCAATCGTGGTTGTCTTGTAAGAGGCCTCAATTTGAATAAGACCTCTACCACCTGATGTTCTTGGCAAGTACAGTCTATCCACGTCAGCCTTAGGGTGGTGCATTTTTTCCATTGTCAAAAGCTTTCTTGTCTTTCTATCCAGTCGCTTGAGTTCTTCTATTTTCCAGTTGATGATATTGAAGCTGTAAGTGACAACTGGGACTGCTAAGGTGTTTATTGCGCTTATTTTATTGATAGCATTTAGTTCTGACTTAAGAACTAGACGTATCCTTCTATAATACTATTATATTATTATGTGCAATGTATCAATACATATCTATGCAAATTCAAAATACCAACATAGGGCGCAACGAGCGTAGCCTATGCGGTTTACAGGAAACAAAGTATATTAAAAACATCTAATAAATAATAAGAAATAAATAAAATGTCAATCCAAATGTCATTGTTCCAATAAAGTTCAAATCATAGATCTCAACGAAAACAATGTAATTTGTTCCATTAGTGTACTCTTAATTTAAACATTCGGGCGATGTGCAGTGTGCTGGAGAGCACTGCTTTCTGCATTCTTTTCAAGACATCCTTTGTTCTTTTATCGAAGATCTTTCTCATTTGCGTTTCTACGTCTTTCGACCATCCCCCTAAAACATCTATAACAACATTCACTTGAACGATCTTGTATCCTGGGAAACGTTGTGACATCTCAAAACGTAGTGGCCCATACTTCTCTGTCTTCTCAGCTTCCTTTCTTCCTCTATTATCCATCCACGGACAGCTCATCTCAGCAAGAACAACTTGTTTTGTCTTATGGTTGACAAAGCGTGCATCGATTCTATTTGCGCTGACAAATGCGTGTTCTGCATATACTGGAACATCCCAGAATGCTTGTGCGTCTAGGGACTCATACATTGGCTTTGGCTCTGTTTTTGAAAACCAGGGAGGTACTGTCTCCACTAAATTGAGTGACTTGCACATCTCAAAAAAGAGAACCTTGAATGCTGCGTTGAGTCTTTCTAGGTAGTTGAAGTTTTTAGATTATTATCATTATTGTAAATAGTTTCTTAAAAGCCTTTGTGAGGAGATGCTATTAAACATTATTATTATTATTATTATTATTATTCCGTGTTACTCTGATCCGATGTGCCGGTCTTATAAGCTGTGTACGTTCGAGTGGGAAGAAGCTGTTCGTATAACTCCATTAGGCCTGAGATGGTGTGAGTCGGTGCGCACTGCCACTCGTTGAGCCAAGCAAAGCATCCTTCCTTATCTAGTGTTTCATCTTCGCATCTTTTCATGAGTAATCGTCCCTGCCACTTTTGGTCTTCAATCTTTTTCTGGAGTTTACCCTCAACTGCCCTTTTCAAAAGCAATTTTACACGATTGCCTGTACATGGTTCGGTGTCAGAGTCTTCTGTAGAGCAGGATGGTTCCGGAAATTCCAGCTTTAAGCTTATTCCTAATTCTTGCGCGTATTTGGTAGCATCTTTGACTAGAGATGAATATCCCTTCTCAGCCGATCTTTCTTCGAATACTCGTACAACTTTCATCATAGGGTCTTGATTTTCATAAAGCTTTAAGGCAGCCTTGATCTTTATAAGCTTATACTCTTGTTCGACTGATTTCAAACCACGTCCACCATCTGATCTTGKGAGATACAGCACTGCATTAGAGCTTAATGGGTGCTTTCCACCGTTCATGCTGATGATCTTCCTTGTCTCCCTGTCGACGTCTCTTAGGTCTTCAAGTGTCCATCGTTGGGTCCACATTGGATACGTCATAGCAGGTAGAGCAAACTGATTTGTTGCTTTAACACGATTCGCATCTGAGAGCGGGCTTGTCCAAATAACAGAGAGCCTTTGCAAGTAAGTCTTACTTGCCAACTGAAATGACAGTTTCTCGTCTTGCATTGTAGATTCTCTCACRCCTAGAAACTTATAGTCTGATCCGTCCTTGAGATTTTGTACAACGTCAGATGGACCTAGCTTTAAATCTGCCGCATCTTGAACATGTTTGCCCCTTC